GAGGAACAAAACACTATACAAGGAAATGGTAATAAACCAAATGAGAATTATGTTAGATTTGCAAGAATTGAAAAAACATGATAGAGCAAATTGATCAATTGCAGACATCAATATCCAAGAAAAGATAAAAGAGATCTTTCCTCCAGCATGCAAGGGAAGTTTCCTAATGACATTTATGAAGATGGGGAGAACAAAATATAGATGAGGAATTCTAAATACTAGTTAGACAACCCACCACCCTTTAATGAGTGCACCAAATTAGAGTTGGACACCTTTTCATGGCGCGGTGGATGCCCATAAGGTAGACAATTCATTGAAAACCATAGAAACTTCTTTCTTCATTTATAAATATACTCATGTATGAAAATTCATCTGCTCAACTATAGATAAATCATACACATTTATTTGGCGAAATTAGAAATTCTTAACTACTATTTGGCACTTATGTAATGGGCACAGATTAAGATATTATTGAAGACCTAGTTTTGTCCATTGACCATGAGGAGGTGGAGTAGATCTCATGGTAATAACTCTAGCAAAGAGACAAAGGTTGATACAAAAGTAAACTATTGGGAGCATTAGGCATTCTACTTAAGCAACTTTGCAAAGAATAAACTATTCTAGAAATTGCCAAGAAGGTTTCCAAAGGGAGCCAACACTTTTTTGATGTAAACTAGTACAATGGTTAGCTCAAAAGTTATGGCTATATAGGAGAGGAATAAAATCAATAACATAAACCAAAAGATTCCTTTCAGCAATGCTAAGAAAAAGAGGAACAGCCTAAGAAAATAGGTAAAAATGAAAATTTTATTACAATCATTATCAATTTAAGGGAATTGAAACTCATATTGATGAAAATTACATCTCGAAAAAAGATTGACTAGGAAGGAGGCCAAGAAAAATATTTTCATGGAGACCATATAACTTGAAGAAGAGCAATAGACATACTTAGCAATTAAGCTAATGTCTATAGACAGCAATAATTTAAGAGACAAACTCTTCAGGTTCAACATAATCGTAAAAAATCACGTGTAGCAATAGAAATCTTATATATATATATATATAAGGATTGTCTATCACCTACCATCTTGAGTCATGAACTTTGGGATGGATTAAAAATGATGCTTAGCGGATAGATGAGCCTCAATATAAAATGAAGTTGTATACTTTACATTGGTGAGATTCTATGTGATGTTCCATTGGATTGCTCGTCATATAATTTTGAGATATTTTTATTCATGAGATAGGGATGCAATCTACTTCAAAAGTATTTTTTTTTTCTTTGACAAGGATGGTAGAAAGTTTCCAATTAGAAGCAACACACATACATAATAGTTTTGAAGCAACACCAAATTACAACATAGGCATGGTCAATTCAAGGTAATACACCACTAGAAGCACCATTACCAGCCCCAAGAGAACCACTAGCAACTCATGGAAGAAAGGAAAGACAGAAAAAGAAGTTTAAACAAATTCAACTCTAGGGCCACTTCAAATCTCCTATTGCTTGTCTAGGAAAATAAAAAAGAGAAAGAAGAGCAAACTAAAGACTAGAGCCCAACCTAGAGAAAGGCATAATTGTAATAATTCATAAGAGGAAAAATAACTCCGCGGGGGGGGGGGGAATACTTAATCCAAAAAGATCCCCATGTCAAATTTTTTAAATATTTTCTAAAGTATTCAAAATTGGCTTAGCAGTTTCTAGATAAGTCATTTTTCAAAAGATTTCTTCAAGTACTTCGCTAAACAAAATATCTGTAGCTAAATTAACAAAATCCAACCTCCAAAATCGATTCAAGTGAGGGGGTCGGCTACTCCAAATAGTGCTCAAAATTTAACTTGCAAAAAAGAAAACAGGGATAGTAGAGCTTAGCATCAAAGTAGCAACAAAATCTAGTCAAAATGTAGGAGTTGAGACATGTGAAAGGAATTCAAGGATTTTTTTTATATGATAAATGATTTCATAATTTTATATTATTCTCTCTTTTTTAGCATTTAGATTTTATTTGGGACAGTTTTTTATCTCTTTCTAAAGTGGCTACTTCTGTAGAATTTATTAATATTCCTAGGTTAGTTTAAATTTTGAAAGTTTCTAGTGATGCACTTCAATTCCCTCCTCTCTACGGATCTTTTTATAGGTTTTGGGCAAAGCAAGAACCAAGTCAACCAATAATTCTACATATGAAAATTGCCAATAACAATCATTCCATAGAGGCATATCAAGACCGAATGCTTCACTTCCTCGTTGATTCACAAACTAATAATGACTCACCTCCTTGTCATTAGCTTGAATTAAAAAAATCGAAGGTGAAATATCATGCAAACACAAGAAGCCATAGAGAGAATCATCTAAAGTTGGAAGGCACAAAGATGTTTTCCATGAAGGCCATAATTTCCTATTTTACTGGTAAATTCCTTTTTTCAAGAGAGATTTTTATAAGCGTTTTCCAATGTTTAGTGAATAAACATCTACTCACTCATATTGGGTCATCTCAATTCATTAGTAAACTACATGATAGGATTATGCTAACCAATTGGGCAGCCTTATATGATCTCACTCTATTGCTTTTGGTAATTTTTTTTGCTTGAAGTGCATCACTTTACCCTATAGTGTAATTAGATGAGACACAAAACAATGAAAGCCCTTCAATCTACTTGGAAGTTTTGGTCACCAATCATATATTTGTCTTTCAATCACCTTCAGCTATAGAAAAAGAGTCTTGAGATGATGATGATGAGGCAGCAACCCCTAACTCCCCTTATAATAGCACAACAAAGCTTGGCAAATGTTCTATTGCTTGTCAATATGAATGGGATAAGCAAAAGTTGAACTATGAGGATTGAAATAGACTTGTAAAAGCAGCTCAACAATTGAAAAAGTATATAAATAAGGGTTGGAGATTGTTTGAGTTCAATGTTGGTGATGAGAAATAAAGACCTAATAAGTAACCTAAGAGAAGGACATTACAATGTGCCAATTTAAAGGACAAATCAGATAGTAAATTCAAATCAATCTGACAGGGGCACCAGTCTCTTCTAGTGGAGTGTTTGTTACATCCCTAAGAATGTGACTATGTACTAATGCATTTGGGTAAATGATTTGCACCCTTTTCTAGTAAAAAAGATACAAGATAAAGAAAAGGATGTTACAATGTATAAATTTAAAGAACAAACTAGACTATAAATTCAAATCAATCTGACAAGGACACCAGACTCTTTTAGTGGGGAATTTATTACATCCCTAAGAATGTGACTGTCGACCAAAGGGATTTACGTGGATGACTTGCACCCTTTTCTAGTCCAAAAGATACCAAATAAAGTAAAATTTATGATTTGTCCTAGCAACGGCTTGTGCTTGTGCTTGTAGTGCTTATGCATACATTAGCATGTGCTTGTGGTGACTTATGCATGCAATGGCTAGTGTTTATGGTGACTTATGTGTGCAGCGTCTTATGCATTCAATTGGCTTGTGGGGTGTGTTTGTAGTGTTGTGTCGTTGCAGTAGCTTTTGCAAATGATTGGATGCTTGCAAGTTATGAGAGTGTGCAGAGATTACCCACATGTCAGTGGCAGGTGAGGCAAACACTTACAAAACAACTTCTTAAATGCAAACAACATATGCACATTGTGCGGTGGCTGTAAGGGTGTTGTTTGAAGGTAGGATAAAGCATATGCGGCCAAGTGAATGCAAATAGTGAGTGTTTGCATGGAGATGAGCTAAGTGTGAGAGTGATTAATCATGAACAAAAAGATAGTGCAAATGGCATGATACATGTACACAGATGATGCCATTAGTATGAACAGATGGATTTGAAACTTATTCAAAGCTATTAACCGAGTCCTATGCAAGTGCGTGCATATAGTTACAATACTGCACTCTAATTGCAAACATTTGCACACATGCAAAAAACATGGACAAATGCATATGTTGTGTGCATGTAGTTGGTGGCTAAAGGTACATAATGATGAATCGTGAGTGGGAACTATGGTAAAAGATTATCAAATGGGTTGTTTCCTACTTATGTTGATCCAAACGGACTTTCAGAGAGAGTAACAAATACAAAGAGAGCAACAAACTGCTGACCATTTACAAAAGCTCTTGAAGAGGTTGTTGTGGCTAGTGCAACCCTAAAAAACAAAGCAATTTGGTAGTGTTTGAAGGCTTGTATGGCTACAATCGCATGCATATGCGATAAACTATTAGTATTGAAACATGTTGTAAGCATGATTTATGAATTGTGCATGTTTTTGTAATTGTATGCATACATATTAGGGACTTCACTCTATGAGCTTTGTATCAATGTAATTCTTAGCGAAAAAGATTGAGACTGCAATTCCTATAATTATGGAATGACTTTTGTCTCGAATTATTTGTATGTTGTCATGGTAAGCACAATAATATGTGCTAAAATCTATTGTATGCCAATTTGTGAGAAGTTTAGAGTAGTTTTTAGATTGGTTGGTTTTCACTAAAGAAAGACAAACAGAAATTTAGTGAACCTATAACCCTATGACACATGCCATCATGAACTATATGTATAGTTATAATTTTTCAATGCACGCTACCGCACTAAACTACAATTAGAGTTGTCGTTTATCTTAAGTCTACAATAGTGAGCACTCCACTCTAACAACCACTCAAACCCCCAAGAAACAATTTATCTCACAAATATAATTGGCAACTAAACTTAAAGCCACAAGGAATTTTATCTCCTTTATGCTTATCAGAAATTGAGATAGTCCCAAGGAAGAAGCCAGATAGTTGGACACAGTAGCAGGATTCAAATCAAGGCAAAAAATATATCAATAAGGCAAGATAGGCCAAAAATTCCACATAACTAAATCTTGGCCCAGCCGATTGGTTGCAACTAAACTGCTGGCATGTTAGCACGCTACTAGGAAACAACACAAGAGTAAAAACTTAAAACACAAGAAAAAATAAAATTCAGAATGATAACCTATTGAAGAACGAACACAAAGTTGGTATTATTCTTACTTACTATGAGCTATGCCTAGATAAAGGTAGAACGTAGATTTTTCATGATCCCTCTTCATAAAGCACTGCATTGGTGTATCCCTCGGCCCCGGCTGCACCCACACCAGACAAGCATGATGGCAATTTACAGAGATTGCAGATAAAAGAATCACATGGATACGAATTAAAACCGTAAAATGACAGCAGAGGTAGGAATATATAAATTCCATTCCAATATAAGAAAAATATAACGAGTATGAAGAAGAAACCTCACAATTTCCTTAAGAAAGCCAAAATGTAGGGAAATTTGGATGATATATCCATGGAGAACGCATATCAGACCTGCTTAAGAGACGAAGGAAAGGTGATCATGCCAGACTCTTGTAGGGATCTGACGATACTGGTGGTGACCTCCCTCCACTTGCGGCAGACACATGCGCATGCGACAACGCTCTTGCGAAGCGGCCACTGGTCCTCGCTCGCCTCCACCCTCTTTATGATCTCGGCGAGGAGTTCGGACAGCATACAAGACCATCGATCCTCGTCTTCATCTTCCTCCACGGCAAAACCGATTGCGGCTGAAGTCCCTGCCGCCGTCGCCTCCGGCTGGACTAGATCGTCCACGTCATCGTGCTGAGTGCGCCGAGATCCGTGCCTCAGGTTGGAGAGCTCACCGGAGAGGGAGGAGCCCTTGATATGGAAGAATGCCCACCGCCGCGACATCTCCTTCCTACCCGATCTCTGTTGCGGAGGAGATCCGGAGAGAGCGGCGGTTACTTCCCCTCGTCCGGTCGATCGGAGGAACTTCCGTGGCAACTCTATCCCCGTATTTGATTTTTTTTAATAAATAATAAATAATAGGGAGTTTTACATAAATATCACTTAATACTATTCTATTTACATATTTAACACCTAAAATTTTAATATTACATAAATACCACCCATAGTTCATTTTCATACAAAATATGAGTGGTAGAAATGAAATATATGAGTGGTAGGAAAGAAATATAAGTGATATATTTGATATTAAAATAATATAGGGTGGTATGGATGTAATATTAAAGTTTTAGGTGTTAGATATGTAAATAGGATGTTATAAAGTCGTATGTATGTAAATTTCCCTAAATAATAACTTTCCTAATAGGATCTCCTTCGTTTAATGTGACCAAATCATCTAAGGGCATTCGTTTAATATGATCAAATGATGTGAGGCGACTCTCTATAATCTTATCTTTCACTAGAGCTACTCCAACCTTTTCACGTATATGTTGATTTTGTATCCTATCTCTAAGGATCAAGCCACTCATCCACCTAAGCATCCTCATCTCTGCAACACTTAACTTAGTATTATGCTTCTCTTTTAATGGCCAACATTCGACACCATAAAACATTGCAGGTCTCACCACCATCTTATAGAATTTTCCCTTAAGTTTGAGGGGGATTATTCTATCGCACAATAAGTCTGATGCATTCCTCCACTTCAACCATCCAACTTGAATTCTACTGATAATATCTCCATCACTCTAAACAATAGATCCAAGATATCTAAAAGGTGTACTCTTACTAATGACTTGATCTCTCAAAGTCACAATCCCATCACTAGGTCTATTGCTACTAAAATTACACTCCATATATTCAATTTTAGATCTACTCAAGCGAAAACCTTTAGACTCTAAAGTTGACCTCCATAATTCAAGTTCACCTTCAACTCCCTCTCTAGTCTTATCAACAAGAAGATAATTATAAGCAAAAAGAATACACCAAGGTACATCCTCTTGCAAATGTCTAGTGAGAACATCCATCACTAACGCAAAAAGATATGGACTTAAGGCTGATCCTTGATGTAATCCAACCGAAATAGGAAAATACTTGGTCAAACCACCTTGTGTTTGAACACAAGTAATAGCTTTTGCATACATATTTTTAATGATTTGAATATAAGCATTATTAACTTCTTTCTTTTCCAAAACTCTCCATAGCACTTCTCTTGGAACTTTAGCATATGCTTTCTCTAAATCAATAAATATCATATGTAGATCCTCCTTATTCTCTCTATATTTCTCCATAAAATCTCTCAATAAATGTATGAATTCCATAGTAGACCTACCCGGCATGAATCCAAATTGATTTTGACAAACATTAGTATCATGTCGCAACCTATGCTCCATAACTCGCTCCCATAGTTTTAAAGTATGACATATTAACTTAATTCCTCTATAATTTGCATACTCCTGTGCATCACCTTTATTCTTAAAAATATGAATTAACACACTCATTCTCCACTAATCTGACATCTTTTTAGTCATCAAAATAATATTAAAAAATTTAGTAAGCCAAGAAATTCCTTCATCTCCTAAGCATTTTCACATCTCTATAGGAATATCATCATGTCCAACAGCTTTTCCACACTTCATTTTTTTTAAAGCCTCTCTAACTTCAGTTTTACTTATACACCGATAAAAATAAAAATATTTATTTTCATTTAGGGTGATAAAGTCACTAAAGTCAATCATATTTTCACATTCTTCATTAAAAAGTTTAGCAAAATACCCCATCCACCTTTATTGAATAATGACCAATTTTTTCTTAGAAACTTTCTAGGAGTGAAGTCAAAGGAGGTGAAATCGGAATTTCAAGCAAGATTGGAGCAAGATTGAGCACTTATTCTCAGAATCAAAGGATGAGAAGTAGGAGCACTACGGGAAAACCCGTCATTACCGGCGGATAATATCCGCCGCTAATACAAGATTTCCATCGGAATTATAGATTTCTGGCGCACGTTAAGGCGGAATTCTCTGCGCCGGTTTGGAGCGCGTCGGTAAAAGTCTTTTGGCGCATAAGTTGAGCCGAAAACCTTTCCGGCGCCCTTTCCGATGCATTACCGGTGCAAAAAATGATGGCAGCCGTCGACATTTCGACCGCTGAATCTGGTGACATATGCGCCGGTAATTTCCGTCGTATGATTGCTCCGGTAATTACCGGCGGATAAAATGCCGTTGATACGCCGTAAATAACCTACGGGATGTTAAACGGCATAAAATATTTGTCGGAAATAACCGGCAGAGCAGATGCCGAAAAGTACGCCGTAAATAACCTACGGGTCATTTCCGGCGAAGTACCGGCATCAAATCCGCCGGAAACCTGTAGCATTTACAAAAAAAATTGCCTTCCCAGCCAACAATCAGATTTCCACACCTACAAACCTATACAAATATCTATCCACAACAGTTTATAACATTTCCAGAACAGTTTATAGCAATTCAAAAATATAAATACTCATTAAAAGAAACTGTTTAATAGTAACAACCAACTAAAAATATCAGATATTGTTCAATATTACAGATTCAAAGAAAATAAACAAGTTCATAAAATAAACTAAACTACTCTAAATCCGTGGACTCCTCCTCAGCTGGAGCTACCTCTTTTCCACTCATCTCCTCCCTCATTTTGCGCATTTCATCCAACAACTGATTGTGTTGCTCCTGCATCTACATTTGAACATGTGCTTGCAATTGAGTTTGCCAATCAGCTTGTGATTTCCTTACTTGTTCTAGCTCAGCTTGTAGGGCACTAATTTGTTGAGCTTGCAAGGATTCATGAGAACTGGATGCAGTAGAGGAGGTCATCCCCTCGTATGCCTGAGCTTGCGCACCTAAACCATAAACTCTCCCATGCTGCATTCCTCCAACGGCCTGCGATCAGATGCGATACTCAGAACAACAGAGCCGCCAGAAGAGCCCTCACCTGCTACGACATGAATCTCTCGAAGCCGTGTATATTCTTCCTGTGAAAGTAGAGTATAAATATATATAATTAAACTAAAAATAAAAATTATTAAACACATATAAATATATACTTACATGGGCTTTCCTGGCTCTCTCATCAATCCATTGTTGATCCTCCTGTCGCTTATGAGTGCGACTATGCAATTCCACAGGAGTTGGTTCTCTACCAAGCGTCTCTTTCTGTCAGAATTAAGAGAATTTTATTAATACAAATTAAAGAAAAAATTTAAAAAATATTTAAAATTCATTACCAAATGATGCCTGTGCTCAGTATGTGGAACGGAGCCTCCTGTATGAAGTGAACTACCTAAGCCCCCAACATCAGAAGCTCTGTTCTGTTGATTTTGATCCCTCCTCCTAGTGTACTCTTCGTTGCCCCAAGCTGCATTCAACTCAGCCCATATATCCTCTCCAATCCACAATGGTTGCTTCCCATGCTTTCTAATATCTGTGAACATGTCACGCATCTAAGTAAACCCACGCTTCTCAAAATTCTTTATAATCTTGTCATTGTGTTGCGGCAGCCAACAAAATTCTTTCTGCATTCAAATACATATGATAAATAATATATAAGATTTTTAGATTAAGTAAAAAAGAATAAATCATTTTGCATAAAAAATAAAACCAAAAAATACCTCAAACTCTCTAAACCACATCTCACGTACTTCTTTCGGGACTTTCTTCCAAGAAACATAAGGAGCGTCAAACCTGCTCCGTATGATGTCCCGTATTTTATGTGCCGGGTTTTTTGATGGGTTGAACCTATAAAAATAAAGTTATGTGAAACAAATATAAAATATAAAATAGGATTGTTTGTTAGCTTAAATAAAAGAGAATGTGCGTACGTGTCACCCTCAAGTTCTATCAACATTCTACCATCTATCGCCTGCTCTGCTGCAGCTGCTATCGAAGGACCGGCTGCTATCGAAGGTCCGACTGCTGTAGGCTGATGAGATGGTGGGGGATAGTATGGTGGAGCATATGGTGGAAATGGATAAGTAGGAGGGGCACCAGCATATGGTGGGGGTGTGTAGTATGGGTAGAAAAGAGTACTTTTGCCCGGGATCTGGTGAAGAAAAATGGGGGTCTGCTGAGTAAAACTGAGGGCTACTAGCTCCAAGAGTGGGTGAAGGCTATGTAGTAGGCTGAGGCTGTGTAGCAGGCTGAGGCTGTGTAGCAGGCTGAGACTGTGTAGCAGGCTGAGACTATGTACCAGGCTGAGACTGTGTAGCAGGCTGAGACTATGTACCAGGCTGAGACTGTGTAGCAGGCTGAGACGAGGTGGTCCCCTCAGTACGTACTATCCTAGCTGGTCCAACTGTAACTTTCTTAGTGCGTCTATTAAAAATGTTTTTATCAATCCTCTACTAGGCTCTTCATCTGAAGCCATCTGCACATAAATAAAAAAGAAATATTAAACACATGAGTTATAACAAAAATTTAAGAAAAAATAACGCAGTGGTAACAATAAATAAATCCGTGAAGTAAAATACAGGGAAGTTAAATAAAATGCAGTGTAGTAGCAAAAATAAATTTAATTTACCTTACATTGTTAACTCATCATTTGTTGATTCACTTTCATCAGATGATACACTCCCAGCACTATCAGATTCATCATTACTTTCCTCTATGGTTAGATCTAGCTCCTCTAACTGCAACTCGCTCTCATTAATTCTGATTTGGTCATCTACATTGATTGGGAGATTTTTAAATTAGACATAAACTCTTCTTGATGTGCTGATGGTATCGAAGTGGTTTTTTTCAATTACTCCCCTTGGTTTTATCTTCATAACTACCAGCCAATTCTATTTGCCTCGTATTCCGCTTGGATAGTTAGCATAATAGACTTGAGTTGCCTGACTAGCAATGATGAATGGATCAAACTTTGCATATCTCCTAGCCTGCTTTACTTCTGTTATACCGTAAATTGGATGAACTTTCGTGCATCTATTTGGTACTGGATCAAACCATTCATAATTGAAGAGATAGACAGTGTTATTGTGATAGGGATATTTAACCTCTAATATTTCTTGTAA